AAGTAAAAAAAAAACAAAACGGGACAGACTTGGAATCAGCGCAAAAATCGAGAAAAGTTTACTTGCACCTCTGATCTGATTAGACAAATTGTAAAAAATTGTTGACCACTAATATAATTATAATGCGGTGATGAGACATTTCCAAATATAATGCCCCACTGCCTTCTACTACAATGTGAGTACATGCCTAACACTTTTTTTGGGGTTGGCGTATTTGGAATGACATCCAGGACAAACGTAGTGCGTCAATAATGCAATTTTGAGTGAGTTGATTTCTGTGAACTAATGTACAAAATGAGTTCTTGCACTTTACATTTTCTTGTTTAGCACTTTTGTGTCATGCTTGAATGGTAATTTTATGCAAGAGGGCCCTTTGCCCCGGAAAAAAAAAAAAAATCACAGTATGGTTATTGTTTGCTTCATACCCATTGCTGTTGGGTTAGGATAGTGGATCTTCATCCATCCACTGAAAAATGTACTGTTATGAAAAATGATATCTCTTCAGACTCCACACATTCAATCCCAAGTATTTATTTAAATATATAAATTTTTTCCAATATTTTTTTTCAAACGTTAGGGTCAAAAAGGCTCTGAAAATGGCTGGCACTGAATGAGTTAAGACTATGTACTTTGGACGTACATGCACTTATTTTGTCCATATTTTAAATTACATTTTTTTGGTCATACTGTATATTTAGAAAAGTGCATGACCCTATGTGGCCCTCCAGTAGCTCTGATGAAAAATAGTTTCCACCTGCAGCATTTAAGTTGCCCATCCCTGCTCTACAGTGTGAGCACAAACCTCTGATCCTTTTTGCATATGTATCGTTTGACCTCAAAGCGTCCTAAAGTGCCTTTATGACCTATTGTAGACTGTGGCTGCCCCGCTGACGAGAAGAGTGCCGAGCAGCCCAAGGCAAGGAAGAAGCGCTCCCGGGCGGCCTTCTCCCACGCGCAGGTCTTCGAGCTGGAGCGCCGCTTCAACCACCAGCGGTATCTCTCCGGGCCCGAGCGTGCCGACCTGGCCGCCTCCCTCAAGCTGACAGAGACTCAGGTCAAGATCTGGTTCCAGAACCGGCGCTACAAGACTAAGCGTCGCCAGATGGCCGCTGACCTGATGGCATCCACGCCGGCTGCCAAGAAGGTGGCCGTCAAGGTGCTGGTGCGTGATGACCAGAGACAGTACAGTCCCGGGGAGGTGCTGCGGCCTCCGCTGCTGTCCCTGCAACCCTCCTACTACTACCCGTACGCGTACTGCCTCCCTGCATGGACACTCTCATGCACGGGGAACCCGTGAAAACAGAGCGGACTCTATTTATTTGCAGACATTTTTTTTTTTTTTTTTTTTTTTTGACATAAGGAACTTTAACAGCCCATTTTTTTTTCAAACCGAAGTGGAAGTCAATGATGGGGACCTAATTGGACATTTGTTCGTTGATATATTTACATCCTACCTCTGCAGTGATTGACAGTTGTTGGTTTTTTACTTTTCATTAAGTTGCAAGCTGTGTTTACTCCCCCACTGCCCTTTCTGTCTTATTTTCTCGCTGTCTTTGTAAAGGTAAGATATTTCAGCACTTTTTGGGAAGCATTTTTGTGGAGGGGAGAAAAAAATAAGCAAAAACTAATGCCTCTTTAAAATGTAATGTGTGCTTGTGTTTTGGATGGTAAAAAAATATTAAAACATATCAGTTTACTATGATGTGGTGCAATTTTGTTTTGAGGCTTTTTTGGTGTCTTTTGAAAACAGAATCTGGATTCAAGGAAATAAAGAAAAAATGTTAAAGCAAAACAAGCATTGCATTACAAAAGCAATAAGTAAGAAAAAAATCTGGCATGAAAATGATGAAATGAGCAGAGAAAAAATATCTGGAATTACTTTGGTGTGGGTCCCATTTTGATTTGAGGATTCAATTTCTAGAGTGGCTCAGTATTAAAACAAGCAGAAAAAAGTTTTTGTTTTTATTCTGTCATTTTTGGCATTAGCTGCCATTTTTTTTAGATTGGGTTCAACATTTAATGAGAAATGAGTCTTGATTTGGATGCAGAACCCAATTATATTTCTACCATACAGTGTTTATTCTGAATCAAATAACCACAAGGATCACATGTCACAATTTGGTTTAAAATTGAATTGGAAAAAATGGTCATGTTGCTACTTGCACCATTTACAGTGTTGTGTTATCTTATAATGAGAATTGGGATATTACATATTATCAAAAAAAAAAAATCAAATGCACACCGTCTTTGTAACGTATAGCTTCTCTAACATCCAAGTTTACAGTATTCTCAATTACATGCAAATCTTAAAAGGGTAAATGCCTTGACAATGTGGTCTCTATTAATGATGGTCTGTAGCCTGGTTATTAACTGTTTTCATTCCCACACCACCAGTTCTAGTTCTTCTACATTCACGTAGCAAAGAATATAAATACATGAAGGTCATATTTGCTGAGGGAAAATTTGTTGACAAGAATTATCTTCAATTTGAATGGCAGGAATCAGGACTTCAGAAACTAAATGACTATCCATTTCTTCTTCTTTTACTCCAGACAAAGATTACTAACAGCATTTGTGCTGCAACAACCAATGTGATTTCATGGCACTGTATTCACATTGTTATTCAAAAAGTTGAAATCTACAAACACCAGCAAGATTTAAGTGTGAGTCAGAAGGGATAATGCGGGTGCTTGTTGTGGGATTTTAGGCTTCAATTCGTCAAATATCATAGCATCAATAAATAGCCCTCCATTTTCAACATTCAAATGAGTGACACTTACATTCCAAACAAACATGGTCTGTAAATGATCTATTTTCACCCACTTCCTGACTGTAGTTTACAAGATTCTAATTTTGTCAACTTGCTGAAACTTCCTATCAAGCACATGCCATCTGGTGTCAGAGAACAAATAAAAGACAACAAATATCCATCCATCCATTATCTGAAACCGCTGATCCTCACGACGGCCGCGGGCATACTGGAGCCTCTTCTAGCCATCTTTGGGCAGTAGGCGGGGGACACCTTGAACTGGTTGCCAGCCAATCGCAGGGCACACACAGGCGAACAACCATCCGCGCTCAAGCTCACACCTAGGGACAATTTTGAGTCTTCAGTCAGTCTGTCATGGATGTTTTTGGAATGTGGGAGGAGACACGGAGAAAATCCAGCAGGCGCAGGGAGAACATGCAAGCTCCAAACAGGAAGCCTGGATCAAGTGGGATTTTATTATATCATATGATGTACAGGGCAGCACGGTAAGTGAGTGTGTAACACATCTGCCTCACAGTTTCGGGATTTAGAGTTCGAATCTGGCCTCCGGCCTTCCTGTGTGGAGTTTACATTGGTTTCTCTCTCACATTCCAAAAATGTGTTTGTTAAGTTAGTTGAACACAATGTTCTAAATTGTCCGTATGTGTAAATTCGAATGTGAATGATTGTTTGTCTAGAAGTACTTTGTGATTGGCTGGCAACGTGTTTGCAGCTTCTTGCCCAAAGTCAGCCGGGCTTGGCTTCACCTCACCTGTGACTCTAATGAGTGTAAGGTGTTTAAAAAAAAGGAATAGGTGTCCCTTTAGTCTCACATTTGGAAAAATGCACAATTTCAATAAATGAAATGTTATTTGATTGAAAAATTAACTTTTCAAAATGATTTTCACCATTTGGAATTCTGATCAAATTGTGGATGATTTCCAAATGTGGTGGAGATCGCAATTAGATTATTTTCCAAAATGGGTCAGCCCTCCCAGGAAGGCAACAAAATGCATGGCAATATTTAACTGTTAATGATTGCACTCATTTGTGCAGGTTGAGGTCCAATAAAGGAGTGAAACCAAAAGAGCCCTTTAACGCTGTTCTCTTGCAATCAGGATGAAGGTTGAGGGTTATTCTCTGCACCTATACCACGCGGGTAACAGAATGAGTCTTATGAGGGGATAGAAGATGACAGATTCAGGATGTCGAGTGGTGGTGCCTTTTCCATTCAAGCATAATGATGCTATTCAAACCATTTAAACCAATGAGGAAACAAAAATATGAAGGACGGGGCATAACAGCTGTCATTTCGAGATATGCTGTGGCCCAAAACAAACAAATTAACCTGACAAATATAGGCCTGTGTGTGTGTGTGTGTGTGTGTGTGTGTGTGTGTGTGTGTGTGTGTGTGTGTGTGTGTGTCTAATGTATATACTGTATTTGTTGTCGGGCAGCCCGATGGTCAACTGCTTAGCACGTCATCTTCACAGTGCGGAGGAACAGGGTTCGATTCCTGCATGGAGTTTGCATGTACTCGCTGTGCCTGCATGTGTTTTCTCCAGGTACTCCGGTTTCCCCCACATTCCAAAAACATGCATGGCAGGTTGTATGGGCACTCCAAATTGTCCCAAAATTGCCCCAAACTGTGATTGTAAGCACGAATAGTTGTTTGTCTATGTGTGCCCTGCGATTGGCCGACAACCAGTTCAGGGTGTACCGCGGCTACTGGTTGAAGGAAGCTGGGATAGCCTCCAGCACGCCCACGACCCTTGTCAGGATAAGCGGATTGGAAAATGGATGGAATCAGCCTATGTGTGTTTTAATTACATTTTAATGCGTCAACGTATATGGGAGGGCTAAAAAAAAAAAAAAACTTTTTTTTTTCAATTTTTTAAAGCCTCTCTATATTGTGGAATTTGATCTATTGCAGGTGAGTTTGGAAAGTACGACCACGAGAAACGTTGGTTAAGGACCTCTTTGTAATACAATCAACAAGCTCATAAACGTCCACAGATATGCCAGAGTGTTTATTTGGCATTCACGATAACACATAAAACACAAGGCACCTCAGAAAGTATTAACTTTTTTACTTTCTTGCAAGCAAAGACCTCCCACAATACGAGATTAAAATTTTGCAGCCACCCACCCACATTTCTGGTCGGCCTTTGTTACCATAGCAACGTCTTTCTTACTATAGCAACGCAGCAACGCGTCACATTCTGGACACAACCATTCTGAAGCCTCGCGGCTGCTATTACGCTTCTCAAGCGCTTCCACGCCGTTGTGACGATCACCACAGACACAAATCTCTAGTTGAGGGCCCTTGTGTGTGTTTTAATGCTTGAAATGTGTCCGTTTTGAACCGAAATAGTTTGCTTTTCATCAGTTTAAGTGTTTCTGTCGACCTAGTCGAGGTTAGTGGCCAAGTTGGTACAGTCAAAATGGCGCATGGTTGCTTATTCGACGCTGTACTAATCCGTCTGTGATTATTAGCTGCCTAGATTTCGGATTCAAATCCTCGAATCGTGGAGCTCTTTGCTTGGAAGGGGGTCTCATTATCTCTTTGCCAGACACTGGCTGAGCACAAGGCGGTGTCATGTCGGACTCGGAGGAGGACAGCCAGGACCGACAGCTTAAAATTGTGGTCATCGGCGACGGCGCTTGCGGGAAGGTGAGCGTCACCCTACGAAAGCTTAACTGTACTTCACAATAATCAAGTCAGATTTGTCCACACGCCAAGGGCGTGTTAATTTTGCCACGTAATTCCATGACTCCGATGTTGCTCGGGCTCCTCGGGACGCTGCTCCCGACTCTGCAGTGGCTCTTTGGGTCACCATGGCGACCGACGCTTAAAACGACACATGCTAAGTGAGCAGTTAGCTGACAAGCCGGAGGAGACGTGATGCGACGCTTTTAACGAGGAACCAGTTATTTTCAGAGGACACCTGAACGCATCTCAACACTTTTTTGTTGGTTTTACCAGTGCCATTCAGTAAACTAATGGATCTATCTGTGCCCACGTATCTGGTTTTACAGTTCCAAATTTCCTCATCATGCACCAATAAAGGTTACCTTATCCTACTACTACTCTAGTACTACCACGGCCAGCTGTTTGAGCATTTATTCGATATCCCATTTTAAGGCAAGAACTTTCATACACGAGGTAACTCAATGTGCTTCATATAGTTCCAAAACACTGAAAGGCTACGTTTTAGGAGAAAATTCAACATTTCCGGCAAAATAATTTAAGACAGTTAAACAACATTGGAATTGACATCTAAAGAAAAGTAGAGAAATAAAACGTAGCTAAGACCCGAACTCTTGCAAAGGATGCATTTTTGTCCACACATGTGGACGCCAGGTCGTAGGAGGTTAACCTCTTTGCCAGACATAACATAACTAAAAAAATGTACACTAAAAGAGCATGTTTTGGGAAAAATAAATACAAATGCTCGAAAAGACCTTAATCATTGGTCAGAAAAAAACAACAAATTTTAAACCTGGATTCAAAATCATACACACATGGGGCCAGCATCAGTTCTGTTGACAGTTTATTCCGTTTGCGTGTAGCATAATAGCAAAATGCTGATGCACCGTGTTTGCTTTGAACTCTGGGCTTCACGAAGTGACCTGACTTTAAGGTTCATGTCAATTTAGCGCAATATCAAATAGTTGGTCAAAAGTCTTTTTGGTAAGCTTTTCCGAGACAACAATGTAAACTGTTGTGTTGCCAATACATGCTCAAATGGTATTCAATGTCCACATATCCAGCTGAAGGTTGAAGGTCCATGTACTAGTTCACTCATTGATCTCATTGGTAGGACAACTTTGACATTCTAAAACAACAACTACATGTTACCAATGAAGCAAAACTGGCAGTTGACAACTGCGTGCTGCTACGAGTACTTCTAGTAAAGTGACTGAAAACTATTCAGAGATTCATAGGGTTTTTTTGTGGCATGTATTCATTAGTTAGCAGGCTACTACTTCCTTTGCGGTGAATGAAGAACAGACAGGGGGTGGCAATTTGATTATGTGGAGTTGGATGGTTCCAATGCTACCATAATGACTCACAAAGTATAAAAGTAAAATAAAAAATAAAATGAAATAAATGCATATCTTATCCAGATGGTCACCAGTCGGTTTGTTTGAAACGTCATCTCTGAAGTGTTCATTTGAGTGCTGTGAAAAAGGCTCGTCATAAAAACAAGGCTGGTGCTGATCTCAGACTTTTTCACTGTACTGTCAGTGGGATTACAGTACTAGAAATCCTGAACAAGAATACAACTTCAGTTCCACCCCATTTTACCAGAAGTGTAGTTTTCATTGAGCCACGATAAAAGGGCAACTTCAGGCTCGCACAGCAACATTGCATTTCATTGCATTAGCGTGTCATCGGCTCTCAAGTTACACCGTATGAGCTCTTTTTCCTCGACGATAAATTACTGGTTTTTGCAGAAGATTAAGCTCACCACATGTTGGGAAACTAACATCACCATTAGCAACTTCATGCACAAGTCTACCATTATGGAGGACCGCAAGCACGAGCTGCCCGTAACTCTACCGTGTTATATAATTGTGTAATTTATTATCCAATATGGGTTTCCCAAAGAGTTTGACCGTGTGTCGTCTTGGTTAAGGAAGGTTCAACTCACTAATTCTGCACAGAAATATTTTCAGTGGTAGCATTTATAAAGCAAGCAACTTAGAATTCCTTTCTCATTTGAAGAATTAAGTAGTCACTTCTTCAAACTTAAGTCTGAAGCAGAAGTTTGGACTTAGTCTCAAAGGAAGCATATTGAATGTAAATCGATGTTGTTCGAAACCTTTTACATATGCCAGGCATTTGCTTCATCTTACATATCGTTTGAACATATTCAAATGTGCGTTATGAAGCTCAAATACATATCAGTCCATTTTAATGTATCCATTTTCATCCTTTAATTATTATGGTCAGCTGAGCTGTGCTACTTCTTTTGAGCAGCCAGGACAGCATCCACCACTTCGCGGGTCGCGAGTCGCAATAAATTCCATTTGCGGTTCTGTAACTATTGGCTGGTACATTTACCACGAGTGGTGCCGTTCCGTCAAAAAAATCCAAACACACATGTGGAGTCGATCCTTTCCTTTTGATACACTACATCAATGGCTTTCAAAATTGTACCTGCAGATATATACGTGTTTTAAACAAGCAGTTCTCAAAGAATAATTGCTAAAAAGTTAAATACAACTGAACTCACAAGTAGTGCGAGTAACACACTGCAATTGCTGCTTTTAATTTTCAGAGCTGAAGCCTCGAGATTTACCACAGTCTCACGTGAATTCACACAGACTGATTTTTTTTTTAAACTCATACACTTGTATTCTCCCTGAATAATGTTGTCTATTCCAAAATTCTTGACCGCAGAGGTGTTTGAATTTTGAGGTTTCACCATCAACAAAAGAACATGAAACTGAATAGCCCCGGTTGTGGAAGAAAATGAATGTCCTCATTTTAAAAAGCCTCCATTTTTCTTGTTTTTCTTTTCGGGAGGGTGCAGGAAGGCGGTGCTGTTGAGAACACACAGGAGTCAGTTCCCAGCAGATACGCTACATTAACGCACCCCTCCCCCACCGCTGCCAGGTGTCAGCTCATCACTGACTTACCTGCTTGTGTGTTGGGCTCAGAAAACACCATACTGTGCACTCCTCATTTGGATTCAGGACTGCTGACTGACATCTTGAATGCCACCCCACAGCTCTCGCTCCTCTTATTAATGTCAATTTGCCCGGCAAATTGCAATCGGATCGGTTTATTTTGGACGCCATTCTCCGCTGGTATTTTGGCTTGCGGTCGGATCGTCCATTCAGAAAAATAGCGAGACGTGGGAAGGCTTGTCCATCTGAGCGGGATGTTTTTGAAAATTTCTGGACTCTCGCGTGTAGCCAAAGACCTAATATGCCCGGCTTCACTGACACACAAGTCTATTTTTCCACCTGAGTGCTCAGGTTTTCTTCAATATTTGCTGTTCCCTTTCGAAAGAAGCCAGCGTTAAACATGAGGACTTCACGCATTTATTGTGGAACATCTGGAGGCCCGTGCCCCAAAGCTCGTCAAATATGGACCACGATTTCAGGCAAAAATCTGCTTCATATATTACGTGAGCCGTTATGATGCATGGCCTTACTCGGCCAAATTTCAAAGGATTAGCTTTGTCGATGTGTTTAGGGCTGCAAATTTACCATCATTTTAATACTCGATTGTGTTCATTATTTTGTCAATTAATCAATCCATCGGATAAAAATCTAATTTTGATTTCCTTCCCTTTATCATTTCATCATTTCAAAATGGCTGTGCAGAAAATGCACTTAAAAGAGTAATTTAACTCTCATTGAAGTGCAGTTTCATTCCTTCATGGGGTGCATTTGTCTTTTTTCTTTAAAGCCTAACCTCTCGAACCAAAACATTCATGTGGCATAAATCTAATAGTTTATTGTAATACAGATTTATTCATTGCTTGTGTTAGAGAATTCACGGGAGAAGGACCTTGAACAATTGATTGCAATCACAATGTTTGGATGGCAGATTATTTTTTCCAAATGGTGCAGTGCTCACTGCAACCCTCATTCCTGTTCCCTTTGGCCTTCCAGGACTCTCTGCCGGAGCCCCCGAGCCAGTTTTGACTTTTCGGAACAAAGGGCTTGAATATTTCTTGACTGGCGTCGTGCATTTGAGGCCGATCTTGTTTGCTGTTTGACAAGATGGCGCACTGAATGCCCATCCGCTGCTATTCTATTCAATCTTGGAGGTATCTACTGTACAAAATAGTCACACTTTGGCATCTTTACAGCTGAGCATAAGGAGTTGCATCGTATGATTGTCTTTGCTGTGTTGTTTTTCTCTGCGCTACAAGTTTCTTGTTTCATTGGAACCTCCCCCCTCCTTGCCATTTCCCGGCATTGGGATCACTGGTGACCCTGTGCCGGAGTGTCAGGATTACGCCAGCGTTCAAATTCACTCTTCCAATTGTACGCTAAGGGGAAAAAAAAACAAAAAACTACAAAGGCACTCCGTTTAAAGGAGGAAAGCCAAGCTACTGGGACGCCAAGACAAATGTCCGAGTAGGCCAGCACGAGCATGAGGGATTCATTTTTGCTGTCCGAGTTCGTTATTCCGGTGTTGCGGCTGATTGTTTGGGCCACCTAAATGAGCCATAGTCTCCTTGTTGCTGTCATTATTCAGTCACTCTTGAGGCCGCGTAAAGCTGAGAATGAAGCAATGTGGAGCTTAATAAACGTCCAGAGGAATTAGGTTGGCGGCACACTGCTTGAGTGTTGAGCACATCCGCCTCATAGTGCTGAGGGCCGGGGTTCAAATCCTCGCTCCGGATTTCCTGCGCTGAGTTTTTCTGCAGGTACTCTGGATTCTTCCTGCATTACAAAAACATGAATGTTGGTTCATTGAAGACTCTAAATTGTCCCCTAGGAGTGAATTGAAATAGTTGTTTGTCTCCGCGCCCGACCGATTTGATTGGATGGTATTAGTTCTTCAATTTTTTGCAGATTTTTGCCGTAACGCCTCATCCCCCTTTTTCAAACACATCAATATGTTATAGCAGAAGACAAACAAAAACATTTTCCCACACCCAAAAAATAATCAGACATTTTTTTGCAGATTTTTCTCTGTGTTGTAGTGAAACCAATACTACTGGACAAAGTATTGTTGTCAACAGTCAAAAATGTTCTGCCTGTCATTGACATCTTTAATGTGTTAACCATTAAGGAATCGAAAAAGAAGGTATTTTATTCAATGGATAGGTTTTTACTTTCATTGGCAGGTTTTTGGTTATCTGATTTATATTCTGCCAAATATCGGAATTGGCATCGGCCTAAAAAAAAAAATCCATACCAGTCGGGCACTAGTGACGTCTATTGTCCGCATCTGCCACGAAGTACGCTGACATCGAGGAGCAAAAATCACATTAACAAGGTCATATAGATATTGCACTTGCCGTTTAATTTGCAAACATATGGTATATTTAACATTATGTGTTATAGATTTTTTTTTACTTTAAAGTTGACAGCTGGCTGCATGCGCCACACACAATAAAATGATCCCAGAACACAGGAGAAGACGACATTTTTTATTAGTTCGCTGCAGCACAGGTGGCCAATTTAAGTCTGTTTAATTTCAAGAATACAAAGAGGACTAAAATGGACAATGACTACTAGTAAGGTTCATCTCAGAAAAAAATACAGTTTTTATATATATATTTAAAAAAAAAAAAATATATATATATATATATACTGTATATACACACACACACACACACACACACACACACACACACACACACACACACACACACACACACCAGCTTTTTCAACATCAAAATATTTTTATGGCCCCCAATTTTTTTATTTTATTTTATTTTTTGTGATGGACGCCCGAAATGTCCGTTTGAGTTTATCATGTTGACGACCACTGGTCTATACTGTATCTGGCCTACGATTGGCTCACGTCCAGTCCAAAGTGTAACGCCCCCAACCCCCCACCATAAATCAGTTTGGATAAACTCAAGCTCCGAAGTGGGATAGACAATAATTGGGTGGAAGAATTAGGCTAATGAAACTATCACATTTTCACCTTTTAAAAGCTGCATGTGTCATCTTGTTCAATAGTTTTCAATTTTAGTTCGGTTTTTATAGACACTGTCAGACTTATTGATTAACAGTGTGTTGTGATTGTGGTTGTATAACTGCGCTGCATCCTACTGAGCGCTACTGCGAACATTTTGACGGCCGTGTAGTGAAATGAAGTCCCCAGAACATGAGAAACACCCCCTACGGTGCAGTTCAATTCCTTGAAAATGTACTTGCTGCCTGGTGAGTACTCAGGTGTTGCGTTGACACTGAGGCAAGTTAATAGACATCCAATGCTTCCTGTTTTCGTCCCGCCACACATGCATCAAAATGAAACCAAGTTGGCCTCGTCACAGACGAGCCGTCGTCCCGCAGACGGGCTATTTTCCTCCTCTGCCAATGGTGACAGTGATGGAGCTTTCCTAATTTGTGGCAATTATTTGGTTGCAGTCCGGAGACATGACACACACACACACACACACACACACACACACACACACACACACACACACACACACACGAAAGTGTGTGTAGCCACACCTGTTTTTGTCATTCTCATTTGACAGTTCCATCCGTTGGCTTTTTAACAAGTCTGTGAAAAGGATTTAAAAATAAAGTGAACGTCACACTTTGTTGCACCGTCTTAAGGCTTGTGGGCCCATGGCAGATACACTGAGGAAAATGACTTGATATGATGAATTACATTAGACTAGTGGTTTATAAGGGGAATCACATGGGAATGAAAACATGGTTTCCCAATTTTAGGGTCAGGACCCAAAATTGGTTGCGAGCAGGATGACACAAAAACTTAGTTGAACATTATTCATGGAAGAACCCCTTTAAATTCAAAACCTTATTTTCTCACCCGTTAACTTTTCCCCACGTTTAGGTGAATAATTCAAACGGAGTAGTCTCCACGGGAATCTGCAGAGAAAAAAGTGTTGATTCTGCGGAAAGCAAATCTTGATTGCATGGGTTGGAAGTTGATTTTCTGCTGGCATTTAAAAAAATGACCTAAAATGACCAGTTGTAAAGCAATATACTAATGAAATCATAATTCTTTTAGGAAATGACGGTATCTGCAAAACCAAAACACTGTGGGACATTGTGGTTATTAAATAAGTATTCTGTATTCTCTTTGTCCATCTTGGGCAGATTTATTTAATCATAATAATCGATTTTATTTGCAGAACAAGCGATATGAAAGCAAAGATTTAAAATGTAAACCAACCACTTCAGCTGCATAGTGTAAACCTAGCGCATACAGTGTGATAGTAAATGTAATTCAACCACACAGACTGTTCATTTATGAAGCACGGAAATGTTGCGATGTCATCTTTAGTAGGCGTCTCCGTTAGGTGGGGGTCATCTTTACTGGACATGATATGAATACAAAGAAAGGCGTCCATAATAAATCCATCATCTCCGCAAAGTTTAAGAACCATCGAGAAAATGGAGAAGACCAATGAAAAATAAATCACCATCAAAAGGAGTTGTTTAACGGCCTCGCAGAGCATCACCGTGCACGACCCTGCTTCCAAATTTTCTGTTATGATTGAGCATATTTCGTTACTTTGGTGGGTTCATTGCTTTCCAATGCAGTTGACGCATGGAAGTATACTGGCAGCGGCGTTTACAGGTTCAAACCTAAAAATTCATTTTAATGCATATCAAGAGCATGAGCGAGTTTTGATGTTGTGCACAGGCAGTGAGTTTCTCCAAACGAAAAAAAAAAAAAGAAAGGTAACGTCTTCCAGTGACGTGTTGCTGCTGACTGCGGTGTCTCTCCTTTTTTGCCGCTGTGTTCCAGACTTCACTCGCCACCAGGTTTGCTCAGGAGGCCTTTGGGAAGCAGTACAAACAAACCATCGGCCTGGATTTCTTTCTGAAGAGAATAAGCCTTCCAGGTGAGACACCCAACAACCACCATCTGGGAGTTCTCGCTCCCTCGTTTAGGGACCAAGCAGGCACACATGTTACTTATCACTGCGATCATTTTTAAGCTATCGCCGGTACTAGAAAACTTCCAAGTTGCAGCCAAAGAATGAGTACCAATATGTTAAATGCACAATCGTTTGCTCGTCATTGTTGTCACTAATACAAAAAAAATTATATGCAACATTAAAAATGTCACTAATGATGCTGAGTTCTTCTGCCATTCACATTGGAAGCTTCCAAGGTCACGACCTTCAAAATTGGACCAACATTTTTGTGAAAAGTATGTTTTGAAATCATGCCAAACCTCAAGTTGGAACTGTTGTGAGCGTGATGTCAGACAATGCCAGTCTTATTCTCAGAGAAGGAGCAGCCTCAGCATGGCGTGTTAAAGAAAAGAAAAACACAAAAAGAGAAAAACAGAAAGAGAATGTTAAAGCGACCTTTTATCCTATCAAACTTAATGTCGCCGTTAGCCTCTTTGTATATATATTTGTTTATGTGGCAATTTGACACGACCACCTTTGTCTTTGGCACCGTCAGGTGTAAATATATTTCAGTGGCTCGGTGATGGAGTCCCACCTACGTGAGTGAAAATACGTTTGATGCTTTGACTGTCAGAAAACTTATTTTCAAATTCAAATTAAAACGGTAGGACATTGCTGCCTTGGTTCAGCCGACTGTACTTTGAGCTCTGGCTGAATTTGTCAAGACAGATCTCAAGACTCAAGTGTGCTGTATATCTCGATTCTTGAGGCAATTTGACCAAAGCTTGTCACAGATGTGCTATTGAGACACCTGGAAAATGTTTTAATTTGTGGCTAGATTGCACAACGTCGCCTTAAAAAAAAACAACAAAAAAAAAAAGAAATCTAGCAAATCAAGAGGAAGGCCAGCGCCCTGGAACAGATTGCATTTGACCTTAGAGGTTGCACTGTATTTGCTATTTGTATTTCCCATCATTTTTTTGGAGCGCTCCTTATTTTCGTGTCCCGGCACTTCTCGCCAGAGGTTCGGGTTAATTCTTCCCATCAACCGATCCGAGCTGAATGTGTCTTTTCTGGTGGCGCCTCATTGTAGCGCGTCTGCCACTTCTCAGACTTATTCGCTGTGAAAGCTCTTCCCTCCAGAGCAAACAGTGCACAAGGCCGGTGGACAGCTCACATCCCGGCCGGGCCAGCCTCGCTCATAATCCTGTGGGCACGGCGCAGAGTAAATACACGAACAGTTTTATGTTCCTATCGTGGATCCCCATATTCAACCCATCTTTGTCCCGTGCCATGTAAAACATCGGCGTTTCTAGTTGTTTATGCCGCGCCTGCTGAATACAACTGCGCTCTGTGGGCTCATTAGATCTTTAAAATAAAAGCTTTATTGACTCGTGCTATATTTAGACTCGCCGCCATGTGAAATAGAGATTTCTTTGCGTCTAAAATGCCGCTTTTTACCCTCTGCCAAGGCCCCAACAGCACAAGTCTGCAAAGTGTCTCTATTCTTTCATTACTAATAAAACAACATTAAGTAAAGTTGTGCGCACAAAGTAGAGGTTATGCTGATTTGCGAGTTGGACGAAGGATCGTGTTTTGATTGTGTGTCACTTTCGGCTTATGAGACTTGGGAGAACTAAACCCCCAAAAATGTTGCGGTGGAGCTTGAACGAAAAGAGCCGACCGTAAGCACCATCCCCGGGCTCAGCTGGACTTAATATGAACTCCGACTTAATCGCACGGCAACCTTTGTTGTGCGCTTCTGATTGAACCTTTCAGGGCGAAACCGTGCACCTTCATGTCACTGCCGTGCACATTTATCCGTATCAATGGAGCAGCAACAACACTGACTCAACACTTCAGTTGTTAAAGGGCCCATTTTCTGGGGAATTGGGTGTTGATGAGCGGAGGAAGAGGAGGGCGGCTCGGCGAGCTGGGTGGTCCTCAACTTCGTTAGGACCATCACCAAGCCTTTTCGTTGGAGCCGTGGCCTGGGTCTCGGTGGAGCTGTAACCATCTTTTGCCGCACGTGTGTGTGTGAGCGTTTGCGTGTGCGTGTGTGTGTGTGTGGGAGGGTCGAGGGTTAGCCTTTAAGTCCTCGCACCATGAAGGCCCAGCCTGTCAAATTTAATGTACATTTTCCAAGGCAAAGAGAGGTGAGTCGAGGCCGACTGGCACATAACAGCCTCCCCTGTGAGGGGATTTTAGAACAATACTTTCTGTACCAGATGTGAAGGGTGGGGGAATAACGCTGGAATTTTAAAAGCCTCTTTTACACGCTAATCCCGTGAAAGGACATTACAGTCGATACAGCCTGTATGCATCTGGGCATTTTTATAGAGAACCAAGTGGATATTTTTGTAAACGTGTGCTTTTTGACACAGCATCATGCAGTTTGATAATTAGATGACGCCAACATCAGGAGTGCTGGATAGAGTACTTGTCGAACAGCAACAACATGTAAGAAACCGACCGTTTACACAAGTTGAAGTGGATAGTAAGTGTCATTTTTGGCCATAACTTCAAAACTTTTCCTTAGGAGCAAGTGTTTGGAAACAGGTATCAAAGTGGAAGGTTGTTGAAATGGTTTAAAAATTTAGCATGAACATTCTTGAAATCTCCCAAACGCATTTGGGAAAAAGTATTAAGATCCGAAAGTTGAACCTTTATGGCCATAATTCATAAAGAACACCACACTTACGGTGGAGACAACATCACACACACTTTCGGGCTGTTTTTTTTTTTTTTTTCACCCCCTCAGTTGGAAGGGACGGGGGCCTGAGACGAGGAGGAGTTTTGGAACAGTTCCGAATACACACACACACACACACACACACACACACACACACACACACACACACACACACACACACACAAAAAATTAAATGCTCTGTAGTTTTCCTAACCCACTCACATGGGTCGCTGTGGATTTGAGCAGATTGGGTTACTTTCACTCAAGGTTGGGTTAATCATTTTCACCCAGCAGATTGGGTTGAGTATGTTCAAGCTCCTCAAATTTTGGGTAGTTTTGTTTTGTACTGAAGTTGAAGTAAATTGTTTAGAAGACGTTTCTGGTGGCTGGTTGACTCATTGGGTAACAACGCCAACTTTGGATCAGGGTTCCGATTCCCGTCAGCATGGTACATGGGTGGGTAACATCAGGCAGGGCATCTGGTGTAAAGACTGTGCCAAAGATATCATGCAAGTGAATTGCTGTGGCGTTCCCTTACAGGGGAAAATTGTGTGCTCTTCAAAAATGTTGGTATACAAAATTTGTGTTTTTAGCTTTAACTCATCAGTATGGGTAGGATTAAAATCTTGAACCAACATGCTATGTCAAATCCTCTGAACAGTGGGCTGGGTTTACTGTAAATAACTGAACATTGGCTCACTTCCTTTTGGACCCAGCGCTACGTTGGCTTTTTCTCCCAATTTGGGTTACTTTTGACACACCAGCTTTAATAGTGTGCCAGTTAGTGTGAGCACAAAACCTTCAGCCTTCTGCTCGGAAGCAAAACAGTGTCAGAAAAAGCCTACTAGAACATCTAAATTATGTTTGGTGTTGATGAAAGGCACTTGAAATGGTTGCAGGTGTGTACTGAGTCCCGATTGATTGGTTAATTCTGAGACAGCGCATATCCGCTGTTCAAATAGTTTGTGCACTCTTCCAGTATAGACCCACATTATCGCAGGTGTTTAGTTGTACTTCCCTACTAAAACCTATTTATTTCTTTTTCAACTAGGTTGTACAGGTTAGGTCAAATCATTGTTGGAAAAATGGTTTGAAATCATTTATCTTGGTCTCAGTTATTAAATATTTCAAAAACCTGGCATTTCAACATGAATGTGTCGACATTTATCCACTCTCCACATATCACAGAAGGAAGAATGGTATTTAATTATGATTATTATTTTTTTTTTTGCCCACATTTGGTGCACATTTGTTTCGTAAATTCCATCGCCGGGTCATATTGTCTACCCTGGTCCGTCTGTAAAGAATCATTTCTGTTTTTACTAGATTGTTGTCGTGTAAACCTCCATAAAGTGATGATGATGATTTCCTCCTCCGTGTGCATTTTTGCGGGACCTTTTTCGAGGTTTATCTGTCGGCCTGCAAGGCTTCCTCCCCGGGCAAAAGCAAAAAAATGCCAGTGGCGTTGAGTCAATGTGAACCTTCTGGAACACAAATAAAGCAAGTGTCCGAGCGCGGTGAGTGTCCGAGCGCGGTGAATGGGCGGGGATGAGAGCAGTTATTCATCGTCCTCCTCAATGTAGCTTTACATTGCCACTGTATAGTCTAGATGTAGCGACTGTGAACCTCAACGTTTCCTTTCCTCGCCTTCAAAATAAGGGGTGAAGTCGCCCAGCCGTGTCCACCGCTCCTCTCGGACCCAGCACACAGACCGCGCGACACCAGTATAAACTCGTCGCTGTCTGGTCCTCTCATCCGCCGCCTTCTGACCACCCCTTTCATTTTCCAGAGGAAGAAAATATTTATTTGGGTTTGGGGTTTTTGTGCCTGTCTTTCTCACTCTCATTGGGCCTGTCTTTCCCTTTCCACTGACATGAGGACAAGAGTCCTCTTTTCCTCCTATTTTCTGTTTAATTATTGCCATTTTCCCTAACAGCACATAATTCTCTTCACCTTCCTGACTTGGCTGCAGCAAGAGATGACACACATGGCACAATGCAAACAGCTTGTTTTTGCTGCCATGGCTTAAAGCAGGGATGGGCAACTTAAAGTTGGAGGGGACCACAAATTTTCATCAGTGCTACGCATGTCTTTACCAGATGTATGACAAGAATGCTATTTTGAACATGGACAAAATATGTGCATGCGTGCAAAATACATACTCTCAATATATTTTTCTTTTTGAAAATGGATTTTTCAATTCATGCATCAAAGATCCACTATCCTAACCCAACATCAAATGGTTGGAAGCAAACAAAATAATCACATAGTGTGATTTCTCTCCCCCGCCGAGCTAAGGGATCTCACAAAAAAATACAATTCAAGGACGGCAAGAAACCATTCAGTCAAGTACTGATTTTGCAAATCTTTGTCACAAAAATAAACTCATTCAAAGTTTTAATATTGAGGTACGAAGTTTGTCCTCGTCAGCATTCTAAATCCACAAAAAATGATCAGGCCTACTCACGTTGTGTACGGTAGGGCAGTTATAGGACCCAGTCTAAGCAAAACTAAGATGCCTCCACCATCTAGTGGTGATTGGTGATATTACAATTTAAAACCACAGTAGACTCTTGCATATTCACAATTTGCAACCTGTACATTCGCATATTTTGTTGTGTTTTTTTCATTCAATATTTTTTCATATTTTGGATTTTTGTCATTTTTTTTTTTTTTTTCATTTCCAACCTCATTTCCCCCTTTTTCCAGAGCTCAGAGAAAGGTCGAGATGTTATGAATCTCTCTTGGGTTCAAGGCAAGACATGCGTTGATGCAATATGATTGGCTGCTACAAAGAGGCAAGGACTGCTGAAGTGGGGATTTCAAGGCGGGCACACCCGAGGAGCAGCATTTAATTAATGCAGTGTGGCAAAAATAGTTTAATTCTTTGTACCGGTATGTTTTTAGACAATAGTACAATAATATGGTGTGCTTTTCTTTTTTCCTCATTAAAATATAGATTACAACATTTTTTGTTGTTTTTTTGGGAGTTGGGGGTGAAACAAGTTCGTGGCATTTCCATTCATATCAATGGAATTTATGCACTACGAGCATGGTCACGGAACTCGTATCTCAAGGTACCACTGTATGTTATGTCACGGTACACTTCTCTTTTACCCCTTGTAGGCAATTTGAACGTGACCCTGCAGGTGTGGGACATTGGAGGCCAAACGTTAGGAGGGAAAATGCTGGATAAATACGTGTACGGAGCTCACGTAAGTCACCTTACCGTCCATGTACACAAGCTAATGCCAACACTTTTTCTACCGCTAACCTTACAAACAACCGGCACATCTTTTTTACAGTTTAAACGGTGCATCGTCCTTCCCCAACACGATGGCTTCAGTTGATTTCTGGAATAAGGGAATTAAGCGCTCATCACTGCGGTGGGACAGTAATAGGAAGAACAGGAAGGATTAGTTTTGAGCCGCGTCGGTGACTCCGCTCGCGCTTATTATTAGTCTCGTCAGACCTCCTGGCGGGAGCCATATGATAATAAACTCAAGCCATCGACTGACACATGAACTGATGGTAAATGCAGCAGGCCGGTAGAAACTCACAATTTGTGTCAAAGTGATGGGGCCATGTAGGAATTTGCAACATCCGCAAGGGCCTCTACTGGTTGCGATTGTCAACTAATATTTCAGGGATTTTCGTTCTTTTGAAGGATAACAGTACTATAGATTTGTTCACGGATATCTTACCCAAAATGACAGATGTGGCTGACGTTGCTAGGTACATACTGCAGCTTAGAAGTACACACTATTTTACCTCACTTGCTTCAATAGAAAACCCATCTAGGGGGGAAAAAAGATGAAGAAACATTGAGAAGGGATCCTGGATAGAGAGATTCCGCAAAAGTGGTCCTCCTCACATCTTGTTTTTTTTTCGATCATCGCCACCTAACCCCTTCCCGAGCAAGGGAGGATTGAGGAGGAAAGAGGAAGTGGCAATGAAACAGGCCAAAATCCATATTCTTGGGGTGAGGCAGAGCATAAGACTCATTCATATGCGTGCGTGGTGGAAAGCGGGCTGTGGTAGACGGCCATAGTTGCCAAGTTGCTCAGTCGAAAAGTGTATTTGTGGCAGTATGCTCCAACTGGGTAGTGGGCAGCAGGGAAATGCTTTTTTTTCACCTGCAGAGTGTCTCTTGTCTGAAGAGACCTACTTTAACTCCACATGTAAAAAGGTAAATGCCACACCATTGGCGTGTATATTACATAGTTGTTGTGCATTTGTGCCTCATCACAAGTTGTCATGCTGGTTTAATGCCTGCGCCGCTTGAAACTTTCCGTCCCATCGTTCCGCCCTGTGCTTGCTGTAATCAATCATGTTGTGTCTGGAAGGACAAGTGGTAATCGCAAGCATCGTGAGCTGTCGACACCGACCACGCAAATTGTGACAGTGCGTGTCGCTGAACAATCACCCCTTCAGTCATGCTGCACAATACAGGAACCAACATTCACCTTGCTGGCCCCGACTCAGCTCCGATATGGAGGTCACATAACCTTGATTTCAGTGGTCCTCAAATTATTTGCACCAAATGCTACTTCTAAGAATACTCTGATTGGCTGTCTCGGCCCCATCGTAATGGCCAACATTAAAATACAAAAATGAGGCAGAGGTTTTATTCCGAAAGTATCTGTGCTTATTATTGTTACCCACGGTAACAGAATGCAATTGCAGTACTCACACTGTGCTTAAAAACAAAAAGAAAGAAAAATTGGACAAATCTATTGAAAAATCAAACCTCAACTAATTGTTTCAAGACAAACAATTCTGAAATGTTAGATGCCTATGTGTTGTACTTGGAACTTAAATACAACTGAACCGCACTTGAAAATTAAAAGAAAAATAGAGTTCATGCATAACTTCATTTTTAATCTGTTTTGATTGTATGTCACATTTTGAATATTTGATTCGAATTTAATTCAGTGATTCTTGTCACGCCATCAGAGTGAGCCCGCGTCATTATACAACACTGCCCTATTTCACACCAATTCCAAACTTGTGTGAGATTGTATTGTGTTCCGTTCCTCTCCCATGTAGGGGGTTCTCCTTGTGTATGACATCACCAATTACCAGAGCTTTGAGAATCTAGAAGATTGGTTCAGCATGGCGAAAAAGGCCAATGAGGAGTCCGACGTCCAGCCTGTTGTCTCCCTGGTCGGGAACAAAAGTGAGTGTCACGCATGCAAAAATCAAACAAACATTCTTTGAAAACCCCAAAGATGCCTTTTTCTATAGCTAAGTTCGGAATAAATAGCCAGATGATTGCTTTACATACGCCGGATGATTCCTCCATTTGCTTCAGCCCCTCCCACATTTCATGTTACACGTCTGTGGAGGAGTGAGTGTTTGATGGTAGCAGACATGTTTGTTGGAGCGCCAGATAACCGATCTCGTGTGATATGTCCGTCGATAAGAAGGTAGCTCGGGTTTGGAGCGGTGGGAGTGTTTGTGAACTCTGGGGAGTCACCGGCGATGATTTAGGATCCGCGGATCATAAGACCTCAGGAGAGTGCTTATCTGTGTCCCTCCTGTCTCACGGTCAGATGCCCCTCTCGCCAGCCCCCCTCACCCGAGCTCTCCTGATCTCGAATCGTCGATCAGACACACTTTGACGCGAACCAGACGGCTGGGCTGCTATCTCCAAAATAAGGAGTAATAATGATGACATCCCATCGGACAGATGTGTTGTCTTGGGTACCGCTGTGTTATTGTGAAGTGTCAGCGTGTGCGTGACGCTCCACCTTGTTGGACGATGATGAACAGTTAGCAAAGTAGCGTCTGCACACCGGGAGCGCTCGAGTGTGAACTCATGGGGGCCATAGGTCACAAGTCTCCTGCACACAACACATTCTGTCTTCTTCATTTGAATCCCCGAAAACCGGGTTTGGAGGTGGGCGCCACTTTCAGTTCGACTGTAATATTTAAGTACGCACATCCCACCGTCATGTACACCCCCCGTCCCTCTCAGGGCTTGCTTGGAATACCCCCATATGTGTTTTCTGACCAAAAAAGAAAACTGCAATCCCACACAGATGGCCCCACTAGGGGCCATCAATCACCTTGTGAATCTCCCAGCATTTCTCTGGGTTAATTTTTAAGACAATGTGAAGGCTTAGTCAAGTATTTGCTTGGAAATATGGTACAACACTTCGTCTGAACTCTTCAAGGGGCTTTTACACTTCATACATCGGTCATATTTGTGTTTCACCAAGTCGAATTCTTGGCTTGCAACAACAATGAACATGTGATTACGTAGCATTCTTTCTGAGCGGAGAGGTCTTTCGGAGCGGTTCCCATGATGTCGGACGAGTTGGGCAACATGTTTGCAACAAACCAAAATAGACAAGCAGACATAACAAGGAGCTTGTAAAAACATGACATTTTTGTGTCTGTAAGGACCTGACTCGCGGGTGATCTGGGTGTTTTGACATCCGGGGACATTTTCACTTCGAAAAACTTGAGGCGAGCTCTCAGCAACAGTGGCCTTCCCTTTAATAAACACTATGCCTTCAATTCGTTATTCAGGTCAACCTGTGACAAATTAATGCCAGGCTGTTAAATTATACTCCCAGTTTGTTTCCTGTCAAACTAAACATAAAAGAAAGAGAATTACTGGTTTATTTAAAACAGGGGTGTCAAATTCATTTTTGTCGCGGGCCACATTGTAGTTACGGTTTCCTTTGGAGGGCCGTTATGAATTTTGGGAAACCATAAAAAATGTTTAATCACCTCCACATATTACACACACACCGCACAACAAATTGATGGATAACTAGTTTTAAAATCAGAAGTCAAGAATACGGACTGTTCATGTGGATTCTATTTGACAATTTGATATTTTGGTTCAGACTTTAGCAAGCATGATGGAATTTGACATGCTTGATTTGCTTTCACGGACCACATAAAATGATGTGGTGGGTTATATCTGGCCCCCGGGCCTTGGCTTCGACACCTGTGATTTAAAACATAACTTTGCCTTGATAGTCCGTTTAACTTAATGCTAACAAGCAATGCAAAATGCCATTAACTGGCTAATGATTACTTTCGGTGTCACAGTGTTCGATAACACTTTAAGTAGTGTATGAATTGAACATAAACGGTGGAGCAACACGTGGAAAGGCAATATAACATATAAGCCAAGTTCCCTTTGTCATATTAAATGATGATGGTGACTTTAACAGTGATTTGTGTTGCATTCGACTTTGTCATGTGATGACTCTACAATTGTGTGCATGTCCATGTCATGTTCCGAGGAGATGTGACTCATTTTTAGAGTCCTTTTTGTTTTGCTTGTTGATTAAAGGTTTTAATACTTTTGGTCTTTTAGTTACATCATCTGTCCGTACTCTATTCCAAAGGTCTTAGAACCATGAGTGATGGAAATTTAAAAAAACAAAATGACAAGGTGACCAGACCACGTAATAAACGGAAAATGCATGCAAACTTATGTTTGTGGCTGAGGTGCTTCCTTCATCAACTAAGCATCACAAACAGCTTCAATTTTTTTAAACAAAATAGGCTTACTAAAATATGTCTTACCTAACATTTCACAATTTTTTGTGCAAAACAAACAAACAAGCAAAAAAACATACAGTTTTAGTCTTGAAGCGACATATGCTGCGAGTTGGAGTAAAGAGTGCAATTTGAGAGCAGGTGGAGTTATAGGACTTCTCAGATACTTGAAGTGTCCAAGAAAGTTAATCATTTTGAGAGCCTTTCCACCGTGTTAAATTGGTTGCTAATTTGTAAGAAAAAAGACCACGAGGAGACTGACTATAACTATGGATTTGAGGAAAAAAAATGAATGTGAATTTGACCATTTTTCCCTATCAAACTCTTCTAAGCATCCCAAGATGATCTTGCATTGAGCGCTGTCATGCTGCAACAGAAAAAGGCCTCCCTCAAACCATTCGCGCAAAGTTGGATGCATAGAAAAGAGTAAGTGAATGGGTTAAAAAAAATGTGTTAAAATTAAGGGGCAACTTGGCTGAAAAGCTCCATTTATGATTAAATGACCATTCATTTTATGCATCCACTTCATGTACAATATACAGTACATGATGAACATTCTCTCGAGGCCGGTTGGCTTATTCACTGTTTTAAATGGAGCGCTGTCCTCTTAAGGCAATTTGGAATAATCAAGCACATGGACCAGACGGGATTCTTACGTTGGCCTGACCGCCCTCTTATGCCATGTCAGTCCGGAGGAACAACCTTCCCTTTCTTCTTCATCCTAGCATGGCCGTGTGCTTTTCGAGGCACCAGCATGCGTCACACTCCTGGCCCTGACACGTTGCCCAGACCCTTGTGTTGAAGAACGGCACCACTTATAACAATTCAGAGGATGCCAGTGCAGTATTTTGATGAGGCTTCCCGTGCATGCACTCTGCACACATTCCAAACATGCTCGGAGATACAGCAGGTCATTACAAAAGGTCAGAATGAAAGCTAATTTCTTCCCAAACATACTATCATTGTATGTTAAGGGTGTCGTCTTAAAGCGCTTCACACATTTATTTTCCATCATAAAAGTGTTAAACTAGAGTCGAGTGGCTAAATTTAGCAGCCAGTTCTACTGCATGGATGTCACCACCTCATCAGCTGTCACGTCTTCACTCGCTGCTCCTTCTGCTCACTCGCCTCCGTGGCTTTTCGTGCGCTCTTCTTTTAACACCTTGTTGAGGCTGAACCCTCTTTTGTAATAATGTCACAAAAACAGCCGTGTAAGCGAATGCGTAAACACATGATCAGAGGTAATGCTTTGTTACTGACTAAACTGTGCTCAATGAGGTATGCTAAGCCAAGGGTTCACTAACTTTTGGGCTCCAAAGACCCCTGATGGTGGAGACGTTTTTTTCAAAGAATGAAAAAGCCTTATGTCAGTTAAACATCACTACCGCCTATATCCCTAAATGCTACAGGAATTAAAAAGTAGCCTATTTACAAGAATAAATGTTAATAATAACAAATAACATTCATATGAAGGAAAAAGATGTAATGTTAGGAGAACAAAGTCATACTGGGTTAATGAGGAAAGAAATAAGTGACTTCCAAAAATAAATATTGGCTCTTGTGATGTGACATTTTTTTGTATTCTGGAAAATACACTTTCATTTTATATAAAAAAAAAAATTGGGCTATTTTCTCAAAGTATGCCTTTTGATTTTGAAACAATAGTACTGTATTCATACAGGGGTGTCAGATTTATGTGAAACATAATCATTTTAGCTGCAACTTGACAAGATTTGCCAAAAATGACAATCTGTCAAAATACAGGTTATGTACTTTAGTACGGAAATATTTTGGGGGGAATTTCTTTGTTATGGAGGATTTTTTGAGGCATTTCAAGTGCTCATTCCATGTCTTATGCAAAATACCACAAAAACGGCGGCCACTTTGCTAATTTTAGAGCTTTTAAGTGGCCCAAAGCTAGGCGAAGGAGGACTAAGTGGCACCCAACAAAACAATTGTTTTATGTGCCAATCCCCACATGTACTGTAGGTACTCTACGTGTACTTTTTTAGAATGATAAGCCACAATGAATCATCTCTATCCAGATCCATATTTTTTGAGTAGACCATACATCTACTTAAAACAAATATTTGGATGCAGATGATTTTATTTGGTGCACCCACTCGACAAAATAAAATTGAGTGAATTCTACAATAACCTTTTTCAATGTGTGCTAATCTAGCTCATAAATTTGGGTCAGTTTAAGAATTTTGCAACCAGGAACTTTTGATGTTCCAGAGCTTGTAGTCCGCAACCTTAAAACATGTTGCAATATGCTCTCATGAATGAGAGCTAACATAAATGTCCTTTCTGCTTATGTTAGTACTTCTGTAGACATGCAGTCTGCGTCATTTATCACACCAATTTGTTTTTATGGAGTAGGGATGGCAAGGCCCCACTCGCTCCCGAACCATCGGCCTTCCCATCGCCGGTGCTCTCTCTCCCCCAGGAGCTCCAGCATCATCCGTCATGGGCTTGCACAGCCCTTATTTGGGGTGACTTAAATGGGTTCAGTTCTCTTAACCCCTCCTCATCACTCATGGGGTTTCTTTGCGGCCGATCCACTCAGATCCGCCATGGGAAAACTCCTTGTCATCTCACAAAAGTCTTACCTACTCTCATTCCTTTTGCTGTGCTGCGTTCTCAGTGTTCTGT